TGTGTGTGTGTGTGTGTGTGTGTGTGTGTGTGTGTGTGTGTGTGTGTGTGTGTGTGTGTGTGTGTGTGTGTGTGTGTGTGTGTGTGTGTGTGTTTGTGTCTCCGTGTGTGTGTGTGGCTGTTGTCCGGCTGTCGGGCTGTCTGGCTGTCTGTCTCTCTGTCTGGCTGTCTGTCTGTCTGTTTGTCATTCTGTCATTCTGTCTGTCTGTCCGTCCGTCCGTCTGTCTGCCTGTCTGTCTGTTTGTGTGTTTGTGTGTCTGTGTGTCTGTGTGTCTGTGTCTGTCGTTGTCTGTCTGCGCCTGTCTGTGTCTGTATGTGTCTGTCCGTCTGTGTCTGTCTGTGTGTGTCTGTGTGTGGGTCTGTGTCCGTCTGTTGTGTGTGTGTGTGTGTGTCTAGGTGTGTCTGGGTGTGGCTGGGTGTGTCTGGGCGTGTCTGGGTGTGAGCGTGTTTGCGCGGCCGCCCTTCTGCACGTCCGCGTGTCTGCCAACTTGTTGAAATCTTGGAGGTCTTCACGTCAAATGCTGTGCTGCAAGTGTCTTGCCCACACGCTGCAAGCGGGAATGGGCCGTGTCAAGATCCAAGCCCTGGTACAAAACTGCAAAAAAAACTCACCCATGGCACACAATTCAACTGGTGAGGAAAGCGTCGCCCTTGGGGCGCGTTTCATTGGGGACCCCTTTGTTGGGCATGATTTAGGTGGGGGATCGTGTCCGCCAACCATTTATCTCGTACCTATCCAGGTTTGGACGAAGAACTGGAGCAAGATGTGTGGGAGACAATGTTGGAATCATGAACTTCTAGTGTCCCACATATTTCTCTTGCAAACCGGCCACTGAACAAAACATACCCATCTCTGCTCAACATGGACATGCCAAAATCAGTGCTAGACAAATGGGTATGCGTCAAAATAGGGGACTCGAATCGTGGAGTTGTTCCTTTTGCGGCCAATTCCAGCAACCTGTTTCACTTTGGCAAACACGGCTGTGATAGCCGGCTCTGTGCATCCGGTCAAATTGCTCAGCCCAGTCAGCCGAGACATTGAATTTGCACTGCTCCTAGCATGGAAGCGGAACTCGCAGACCAGGCCGCGCTAAGGAGAGAGGCTGCCCACTACCCACAACCCGCCCACAAATTGTTAGGCAACTTCTGTACAGCCACAAAAAAGGGCACGTGCCATGTTCTTTCCTTAGAACCAAGGTTGCTGATTCCCATCACAGCGCCTTGAAAAAGGATCCACTTGGTAGAGAAAGTGATACCCATGAGCCAAATGCCTCTGTACCCCCCAGAACCAATGTCCAAGCTTGGAGCTCCGGCTTTTACCCTCCACTTGTGGACCCACTTGAGGGCTCCCGGTGAAAAACCGCGCCATTTCAGACATGGACGTCAATAGGGCAACAGGCCACAAAAAGGTCAAAAAGGTCAATTCGGGGGCCAACAACAAGAAAAATCAGCCCCGGAGTTTGCAGCTGGCAATTGCCTGAAACCCCATTGAGAAAAGGTGCCCCTTAGGGCTGTCAATGAAGCAGCCCTTGGAGGGCGCTGGTGTTCAAGCTGAAAACAAAACAGAAAAACACAACCCAAAAAACAAAAAACGTCGTCGTTTCTCCAAGGTCACGAACCAGGGCCGTCTTTTTGCCAGAGGGGAAACACAGGCCATGCCCTGCTCAAACAGACCTGATTCAGCCATTGTCCACCCCCGGCCGGTCTTTCGAGCTGCTTGAGTTGAAGCCGCGCAGGCACTGCGCGAAGGAGATAGGCCACTTAGGGCTCTCGCGTAGTTCTCGAACTCCAAGTTTGGACCCCCAGACCTCCTTTTTCTACCTTCCCGCCTTGCGGTAAGGCAGAGAAGGGAGGGGTCCACTAGGGATTGGAGGACCAACGCAAAGGTCGATCGATGACCTGAGTTGAGAGACTTCAATCTCTTGGGTCTTGACAAAGCTGCCAGGTTTGATCAGGTAGACATCGAAGAGCGGTAGGCAATGGAGGGGTTATATTCACGGTTATATATAATGTCTATCTCACATTTGCGGCGCACTAAATATGTTGGGACCTTGGGAGTCTCTTGTTCTCGTTTGTTTTTCTTCTCCAGAGGTTGTTCTAGGAACTGGCTTTTTCTGGCATACTTTGGGGCTTGATTCCTGGAAGGCGAAGCCTAGGAATGGGAAGCCTAGGCATGGTTCCCAGCAAACTGGGTTTAACAGCAGCTGACAGGTCTCAACTTTAGGACGTTTTGGCGGCTGACCTCAAGATGTTAAGACTTGAAACGTATAGCCTTTGAAAGCCAGGAGGGTCTTTGTCCGGCGAATCTCCTTCAAGCTGGACGGGGCACGAGCCGCCTGCCAACGAGACGTCCTCGTGCCGGCACCAGTCGTGGGCAAACATACCCTGTGCTAAGACGTGAGATGCGCAATGTTGTTCACACCCTTCTGGAGCAAAATAGTGATGACTAAACTTGATTGGGACCTGTCCTGCGTTGTTTTAGTCGGTGGAATGACAAGAATGCCTACAGTTCGATCAACTATAAGGGCATAGGGTAACCCCAACATGGCCGGGTTCTTTTGGTTTCCCGTCAAACCAACCCAAAAAGGGTACCCTGCTACTTGGGGAAGTGACCCCACGCTTTCTCCTTTCCCATATCTTGCCAGCGAGGTGCCGGCTCCGGAGACCCAATCGACACTTCTCGTAGAAACTTCATCCAAAGAAAAAAGGGAGCCCATCCAATCTTCTACCCCTGCATTTGCGTGGAAATCCCGTATTTGGATACGTGTGCGGGATTGCAGTTACCCATATTTCTGTGATTGGCCAGGGATATGATGGTATAACTACCCGCTCGAGTGACAATTCTATATATACATATATATATATATATATCGCTCGCTCTCTCTCGCACTCGCTTTCTCATGGCTCCCCAAAAATCCCGCTGAACAATCAACGAGGAAACTCACCTTGGCCCAAGTGAACCTTGATTGAAAAGGCCGTGTCGGGCCAACATTGTGCAGACCATGGCCAATATGTTCCGGCTTGCACTTTCGAAGTGGCATGATGGTCGGGCAATGCCCAAAAAGTAGCTGCTTAAGCCTGCGTTTCAATCGTCTTCGCCTGTACCAGGGAGGGAGGTCGACTGAAGCGCCTCCGTCGCCCGAGAAAACAAAGCAGAACGGTGGCCCGCCAGGAGGGCTGCGTCCGGGTGACATCTGGACATCGGGTTTGATTGCGGATCGGTTTGAAGAATTGAATCCTTGGTTCTTGAGGGCAAATGGGAAACCGCCCAAAAGGGCGGGGTTTCGGATGAGAAAAGAGCCTCCGAGCTGAACCAAGCTTCCCCAGACCCAGAAACTTCATTCGCTGAAAAACAGATCATGAGTCAACTCGAAAGGGAAAACCTTTGGGATCCGGAGCTGTCCGATTTGGAGAGGACTCGAGAACGCGTCCCTTCACTCGGGGGGGGGGGGGGGATTAAGGGGACCTTGCCACGCGGAATTCCCCTGGCTCGAAAGTGGGCAAAAAATCCATGGACACCCTGTTTTTGTTGCTCTTTCCAAGCCGGAGAAACACTGGTCCATCCCAAGCAAAACAAGATGTAGAGCCCTTGTTGGCTGAGGATTTTGTTCGGTCTGGGTGTTGGGCGCAACCATTTCTTGCACCCAGTCAGACTGTCAGACTGTCCAAAACGGGCGGGGAGCTCCACCCCACAAAGTAGAACCTACTTCTCTTGGCCACGGTTTTGGTTTGAAGCCTCATTTTTCTACGCAGCGTTTTGCCTTTTCAGTCACCCGGCACGCTCTGTGCAAGATGGGCGGGATTGCTCCGAGCCCCCCGAGGACCCGATACTGTCCTTGGGGTGGGTCGGGTCACGCAAGATTCGGAGGAAGGAATTGGTCAAGCCTTGGGGGCGCATCCTTCTTACTATTCCCGGCTTGTCCAGAAAAAGGCCCCAACGGGAGGAGAGGGAACTCTCCTTGACTTACTCTCCCAGGCTTGTCCAGAAAAAGGCCCCAACAGCCCTCACTTGCACGCCCATGAGTGCCGAATTGCCTCCCAACTCTCATTTGGAAGAATGGTCGAACGGTGCGAACAAACATGATGGAATTGCTGAAACCCTCGCCATGCGTTTGGCCGGGAAGCTCAAGCCGGCCTGACTCTAATGTCGGTGCCCGATTCATCAAAGGGTACCAAATACAGTGTGCATATATATATATTATAATGTTTTTGTCCGGATTTTGTTTGGGCCGGAACCAACACCCAATAGTGCAAGCGCCCCCCTTCTTGTCCAGTACTTCTTTCTACTAGTACTGAGAAAGCCAGACGATTTCTGCAAACCACAAAACTGCCGATTCCTTACATATCCTTGATAAAAGAAATGCTCAGTCGACAAATTCCCAGGGGTCGTACACGGCCACCCGAATCCTCAGTAATAGAAATGAACAGAGACCCAAGAGTGTAACTGTCCCCCCGGCCACGCCAGAAAGTGGCTCCCCTCTCTTTTGGGAAAGGCCGCAAAGTGTTGTACCGGTTTTCTCGATTGGGGCCCCAAGATTTGTTTGAGAGGGGGCGCTTGTATTATTGACGCCCCCACATCAACGGTGTTTGTACGTACCCCTGCAGATGTCTTGTTGTTCATACCAAATCCTGTCCCAAAAAAGGTAAATTCGGTTTCAACCAGGGAATCAAGTGGGACAAGTAGCAAGGAACTTCCTTCCGACCTCCGCCTTCAGCAGTGGCCGGTGACCGCGCACACCTGAAGGCAGGACCCCACGCCAATCAACGCATGCCCAAACAATGGTTTCCTGGGAAAAACGTTTGATGCCTCCCTTGCCAACAAAAGCTCGCGCAAAAAAAAAATCGAGCCGCCGCAAAAAAAACAAAGAAGAAAAAAAAATACCGGAGGACGCGGCCGGCCTTTAAAAAACGAAGAAGAAAAAAAACGACCCGGGCACGCAAAAAAAAGTCGCCCACCCAAAAAGAGCGGGGGCCCCAGAAAGGAAGCTGCACGATCGAGTTCGAGGGCCCCGGTTCGCTGAAGGGCTGAGAGGGGAGGGGTTTGGCTGCGAAGCCAATGCAAGAAACGCCCAATCGTACCTGTGTCCACCGTGCCTATGCGTTTTGGTCGAGGTCACATCAGGTCACATCAACTCAGATATCTAATCCGACATCGATAGCTCTTTGACGCTTGCGCGCTCGCGGCCGAGCCTAAGAAGGAAGAGACGCCTGGCGAGAATCAGGCGAAAGTGCCCTGCGATTCTTTTGGGGGCTGAGACCAGACCAGGGTTTCCCTCGCTCATCGGTCAGAACAACTTCGAATCATAACAATGCATGATAGGGTTTAGGGGGTTTTGGGGCTTGGGGGGGTTCAGGGTTTCGGGTTTAGGTCTTCTTTCTCCCCCAGCCATTCAATTTGGGATCCGCCTTGGGATCCGCGACTGCCAGCGCTCTCATCTCCCGAAGGTTTGGGAGATGGCAAGCTCGATCCCGTGCCATGAGCCTGCATACCTTGAAGTTGCAGCAGAGTACGTCTTGCCCACGAGGGAGCATGACGTTGCCATAACCATTTGTGCAGGAGTGGGATGACACATGGAGACATGCAATAAGTGAAACCCGCTGTGCGAAGCAAAAAGTTCCAGCGAAAGTAAGCGAGGACCAGAATGCAAAATAGGTCGACATAAAAAGTGGGAATCCTCATGCAAGAGCACGCCCTGGCGGGGAAAGCAGCTGCAACAGCAGCTGCCGAGAAAATGCGGCGCCAAGGCCTGTGCGACTTAGCGACGCAGTGCCTTTCGGGCCAGCGGCATGAAGTTGCAACCGAGGGTTAAATGTCCATGTTTGAGGTCGCTAAGACTCCAAAGAGAAGTAATCCCAACATGTGGCCATGGGTCAAAACCCCGTATCCCCAATGAACATCCCAAGCCCCACTAAAAAAGACTAAAATGGGTGGTGCACCTACCCCAAAATTGTACCATTCGTTTTGACCCGCAGCGTCTTGAGAGAGTCGATCCCGGCACATTGCCCCGCCTCGCTTTCCTCTTTCGTGATCCCCCGCATCTGGCAATCGAACACTCGCCGCCCAAAGAAAGAGACTACACGACACCCCCTCGCGCCCTGGGCGGGATCCCAGGCGAGCCAGTGTTGTGGATGGACAGAATCCACAAACCGAAACTCAACTGCGGCAATGAGCCAAGCCCTCGAGTTCTTTGATGTGGACAAATCTCTGCAAATGGATGAAACCCCATCCAACTGCTAAGTAGATTTTGTTCACCAGTCGTAACACGGGCCAAGTTCTCGAACAGCTTTACGCCTAACGCGCAAGATAGCCCAAGCCCATCCGAAGGGTATGGAAACTGAAGGAAAGGAAGCCTTCACGGCTTTCAACCTACCCTTGAGGTTCGATCTTAGGCTTTCAGTTCCCATCTAAACTGCCTAGGGTGACTCACCCCGCTTAGTTGCAGAACTTCTCCCAGTGAACTCCTGCAACTGGCCCCTGCTCCCGGACCATGATAAATTCCATGCTTGCCCCCCTCGACAAAGGAGTTTGAAGGCATTGGAGCCATGGTCAAAATCAAAATATTCGCAAAAACTTGGGACATGGCAGGTGAGTCGCCCCGACTTGCTTGGTGGGTCGAGTGCCCACATGCCCAGATCGGCCGAAAGATTGGCCAAATCAACAAAACGGGAGGTGGAGGAGGGGGAATATTTGGACACGGTGCCAGCTGCCAGGGTTTAAGCCTTCATCAAAAGCCCGTATCTGTGTCAGTTTCTAATCGGAGGCAAACAAAAGCGTGTTCTGACCATGGCACGCAATGTTCATGCAGACTGGAGTGCAACTCCCCAAGAGAACCCACAACAAGCTCGCCCCCACCCCCTTTTTCCGGGACCCCTGCCCCTGCCCCAAACCCTGGCGCGCCCCCATCCCCCCCCCCAAAAAAAAACCTTCCTTGAGCAGGAAGGAGGGCATGTAACGGCCCATCCGCCCCTTGCTCATAGATCTGGGGGGCCTGGATTCAAAAAAAGCGACGGGCCGTGCCAAAAACAAAGCGACGGCTCAGGAGGAGGCGGTTTACGTTGGTGGTGAACAACAAACACGCACTTCGGATCGAGTGGATTGGCCAGCACAAAGATATTTCTCTTCTTGTTTACCCACTCAATTGATCTTCCAAAAAGGATAACCACTTTTTAGGAACTCAGTGAGAGAGAAAAACCGTTGTCGAATCACCCTCGGAAAGGGGGCTTATGGATGATTTGGCCCAGTTGTTCAGCGATTTCCAACAAAAGATCGAGATTGCAGTAAGTCTTAAAGAAATGTGCGAAATACACCTTTCTGTGATACCAAAAGTGGCAATTCCACTGACTACATCATCAGTATAGGGTACTATAGAGGGGATTTCCCAGAAAACATCACAGAAAGTGGTGGAAAGAAATGGAGGATGGTTCCAGGAAAACCGGCAGATTGGGCCTCTGACTTCCCTTGAAGTGCCATCATCCCGCAAATGATCAATTGGGGGAAACCACCCCCAAAAGCAACCTTCAGAACCCCTCAAGATGTTCACTTCAGAGTCACACTCAAAACCTGGTACGCAACCAAATATAGAACTCCAAGGGATGTCCCCGCCTATTTCTGGCGAGGGAACTGTCCCTGGGTCCTGTGGGGGGACCCCAAAAAAACTGCCGCTTCTTCCCTTTTGGTTTCCTTGACAACCACACATGGCAGGAGGGGTGCCTTCAACAAAAAAACGACAAAAACCCACCAAAACCCTGCGCCGCGCGGCTCCGGCTTCATCTCGCCGCCCGCATGCTCCTCGCCCACCCCCACCCCCACAAAGGAAGAGGCCTTCGTACGCCAGGGGAGTTGAAATCCCAGACTGACGCAGCCAGGCGGAATCTGGGAAAATTGCAACCAGCCCTAGGTTCTCGTCATTCTTGGGTGAACCACCTGAATCGATGCTAGCTAAGCTGGCCAACACGTGCTTGCTCAACTCCAAGCGAAACAGGGGGCGGGGAGGAGTGTCAAACCCATCCATCCCCTCCGGAAGAATTGGGTGTGCCTTTTTTGGAGGGTACCCATTTTGCAGTTCCAACTCGGTCGCTCAGGAGAAACGGTCTCCATGAGGCTCAAAGCCTCGCAGCTCAGCGGGTTCGGACGGAGGCACGCCATGCGCCCAGGCGTTTCTGCGGCGTTTCCGCGAGGAAATTTCTGAGGCAAATCCGGTGGAAGTGCGCGACTCTGGTGGTGTTGAAGGGAAACCAAAAGGACGCCGAAGCTATTTCGGGGGTGCGAAAAGACAAAAAGACACCCATTTACCGCCAACCTTTGGGCGGGAACGGGTGCGACGCATTGCAAACCTTCAACTCGGTACCAGCATCCTCTGAAACCTGCCTTTCCAAGACGACAAGAGTTGAGCGGTTCAAGTGACGTGCTTTGAATTCCAAAGGAGAAGAGTTGTCTCCGAAGGCCCGGGGAACGGACAACAGGGGGGCCGCATCCAGCCAGGTTCAAAGGGTCAGGACCTGACATCCCCGCTTCGGGACCCAAAACCATCTCCAAGTCTCGACACCATGTGCTTAACGCATAAATTTGGGGGGGTTCATGAAGCAACATCCACATTTACCCGACTGAAAACGTTTTGGTTGAGCCCAAACAAGGGAGACAAACCCATATCACTCCAAGGGTTACTTGTTCTCCAGCCCCCATGTTTTTTGGACACTTGAAGAAAGAACTCCGCGCTTTCTCTTTTCATGGCTCCCCCAAAGATGCATGCATGGGTGTGTCTTTTTTTTGGGGGGGGACCCGTTTTTTTGTTGTGTTTTGAAGGAAAACCAGAAGGAGAACCACTATTTGGGGGGGGGGTGAACCGCCGAAAAATCGACACGCCCACATCCCAAGGCATGTTTCCCCCGTCCTCCTTGGCCGCTGTCCAGGGCAACTCCGAGATCGTCTCGGCGTCGAGGACATCGGTGGGCGCGCCGTTTGCTCGTCGGGCGCCAGAAGAAGTAGCGTCTTGCGTGGTGTGGATAGCCTGATCGTCGTCCGTGGCGCTGATGGGCCAGAGCTCGGAGTCTTTGTCCTGGCTGAAACGGTGGACGGGCGGAATCCATTTTGCACCACTTGGAGACCATGGTTGAAACCACTGCTTGTTAAGGTATTTACGTTGGGGAATCATCAGAAACCACTGTCTTTTTGGGTGGTGTAAAGTATGTCCCCGTAACGACCCTATGGGACTAATCCGAAAATTATCATTTAGAGTAGTTCGTATTTACCGGGGAATCGAATCAGAAGCCAGGGTTTCTTAGGTGGATTCCGTCCACCCAGAGGACTCTGAACCCGAAACCAACTCTTTTTCCATGAACTAAAAATAAAAACTGTCCGTCTCGGTGCCCGGTGCCCAGCGCGTGGAGAAAGATGCGCGATGCGACTTGCACAGCTCGAAACCAGTTCAGCGCAGAAGCGCAAGCAGCGAACCATGACCTTTTTGGTGATGCTCAAGTTTACAAATGGATTGCCATCCCTATGACTGCTCCATCACTTTTATGCAAGATTCCCCTTGGCCATTACAGAAAGCAGCCGTCTAAATCCCCCCCAAAAAAAGAACAGATAGAAAGCAGAATATGCCCACGAATCAAAGAAGCTGAATCACCAGAACCAGCCCTAAAGCCAAATAGCCAACCCTGCCCTTGACAAATGGGCTTGAACCGTGCTTTCCTAAAAATCACAGGCCGCAAAACAGGAATCCCCTTGAAAGCCTCCTAGGAGCTCGTGTTTTGATTTTTTTTGCGACATCTGAGTTAGCACCCGGCCATTGCTCCGGCTTTGCAAGAGGTGCCCGAAGAAACCTTGCGGTCGCCTCTCCTTGCCTTAGGGCCACCCAAGATATTGAAAAATGTATGAATCTTCTACATGCTGGGGTTGGTGGTTGGGGTCTGATGATCACTTTGTACCACAACACAAATGACAAACTAAATGGCTGACGCCCTGCGCCTTGTGTTGGCACCCCGTGTTTGCTTTTGTTTGTTCGGGGTTTGTGAGGGAACCAAAAGAAAAGCACAATCTTCTTGGGTCAGTGCTCAACCCTAGGATTTAAAAAATATGCTCTGCCATCATCAGTTCAAAAGATGAAAGATGGTACCAAAAGTCGACCCAGTCTTGAGCATTCCCCTATTTCGGGACACTTCACTGCACCAAGCGGAGGGCGAACCAAGCACTCCTCTTGAACGGGTCCGTCCGGCTCTATCTTTGGCAGCCGACGACCTCTCGGGATGTTCGAATAACACCAACTGGGCGCGTTGTTTTTGAGGTACCCTTTTGGGGCCTAGTTTAACAAGAAACCAAAAGGAAGACACACATGTTGAGGGGTCTCCTAAAAACAGACACATTCATACGGGAAAATTACTCTGTGTCCAGTTTAGGGAATCTTCCCCAAATGGGCCATAGACATCCTAACAGCCTGACAGCGTCCCAAAACCAATTTGGGCCAACCTTCTATTCGGGTCTTCTGTTTCGGAGACCAACCCATCTGTTTGCCAAAGCGGGCGTGAGGTTTTTACCGTCCCTGTGGCGAAATCACGGCCAGAACCAACAGCCAAGTCAACGGGTTCCGGCTTGGCCAGTCCGTCGGGGAAAATGTCCAACGGCATCGGCGAAAGATGGACATCATCCATCCCTAAAGCGTCGCTTTGGGCAACTGAAAAATGTGATCGTCAAAGCCCAGTTGAGAACTGTAGCTGGATTTGTTCAGGAAATCTTCGTAGGACATCTCGGAATTCAGCTTCTCAAAGGGCTTCAGCTGTGCTTTGTTTGGTCGGATTTCTGCATATGTAAACAGCCTAAATGCGCGAATTGTCCGCGCCTATGGCGGCCCCTATGGCCGGACTTTCCCTTGCCCCCATCGGTTTTGAGGACGTGGACACGCCATGTCCAAAGGAAATTACATTGCGCGAATTGCGGGGGGCGTGGCAGTTGTCGATACCATTGGAGTGGGCGGAAGAGGTGGTATCACGGAAATGGAAGAGTCCGACTTGGTAGGAGGGAGACCTAGATGCAACTTTTGATTTCCAGGTCCCACAGTTCAGCGAGCTGTCCCTATTCGAGGCATCCGCCAAAAGCCCCTCCCCCCCATTGGATGCGGACGCCCCTCCTAAGGCTTCCCGATATTTCCAACCTGATCATCCCTCAAGGAAATTCCCCTTGACACCCAAAAATGTGTTCAGTCAAATCACAAAGAACAGACATTGACGGACCCCTGCGCCTATGCATTGATTAGGAGGGGCATAGGCCCGACAGCTGCCTGGCCTCGGTTTTGGCTGCGAGAGACAGGAGAGGCCACGTCAGAGGACACCTGGACTTCGGACAGTTCGGCCCAGTTCGTATGGCCCAAATCCGAAACGAACATCCGGATTGGTCCATGTGGCCATGGGGCCAGGGTCAAAATCCAAATCGGTTAGCCAGTGAACATTCGATTCAATCCAACCACTAAAATAGGTTCTAAAATGGGTGGTGAATTCACCTACCCCAAAATGGGTTCCCATTGGTTTTGACCCACAGCCAATCTAGCCTTTTGTGGAGACCCCAGGTGTGACTTTATTGGGGACCCTTGAGTGAATTTCCCATTGCAAAACACAAAGTGGCCAGCGAAAAAAGGACGAGTCTTGGCTCGCTGAAACAACGGCGAAAGAAGAGAATAGGTCTGAACCCAACTATGAAACTTGTAAATTGGATCTTCTGGTTCTGCGGCTTTGGAAAAACTTCAAAAGAGATCGGTCTTCGACCTTTGAAAGCTCCCCTCTCCACAGGACCTGTTCAACCTTTGGAGGCCACTCTTCCACATCTCCCGTGTGCCTGGGATTCCAAAAAAACCTTTTTTCCACGAGCCGGTGACCTCCGGAATTCCCGTGTTACCCTGTCGAATGGTTGCCATCCTCTCCTGGCCCATCTACAGCCCTTGCGAGCTCATTTCTCAAACTCCACTTGAGGAATACGGCCATTCGTTTTGGGTCCGAGTGCCCTTTAACAAAATAAGATTCATCGAAACTCCTCCATTCCATAAGGCGGCCCTTTGCCTGGAGCGTTTTAGGCGTGGTTTTGAAGGGAAGCCACAGGAGCAGCCGCCTT